TTCTGTGGGTGTCAAGAACCCTGTGGGCATCTTGCTTCCCTTGGGACACTTTTTTATATATGAAATTTGGGTTGGGGGATGATGTGAAAATAGTTAAACTGATACCTTGGGATGTTAAAGCCCATTCACATGTGTAGCTGCTTCACTGTCTCTGCCTTTGGTGCCATGAAGATCTCTTTATGTTGTATTGAGCCTTGGAATCGGGATGAACTTATTCAGGACCTACACATTAGTCTCAACGAAACAAACAAAGCTTCATAGAGTTAAGTGAACCTAAAGTTCAAGGGTGACATAAGAATAAAGAGTCAGAATACTTGATCAACACAAATGCAGGGCTAAAAATAAATGTAAAGCAAACGGTTTTAGCTCATTGATGTGAGTTATTCTTCCTTTGCTTATGCACCAGAAACAAATGTTTTCGCACATAATTGATGTATGATTAGTATTCCTTTGATGAACTAAATGTTTTTATCACACGGATAAGTGGTTAATCTTCTTTTGTTTATGTTTGAATACAAAGAGAGTATTAATTTCCTTATGATGTCCAATTGAGATATTTTTGGATTTGTGAATGTGTTTTTTTTTTACTAACAAAAGAACAAAAAGTCAATTGAATGGAACACATAGTATGTGTTCAAGTGAGATGCAAGACATAAATTAGCAATAGGATGATTTACTGCTAATTCATGCAAAAACAGAGTATGCTAAAGCAAATTTTACATAAAGGCTCACTAGGAGCTTAGCTCTTATACTAGCTAACACGGTAGGAAATTGGAAGGATCGTAATACTCCCAAAATCTCGCACCACATATGATCAGATAGCTTAACAGCCTAACTCAACCTCCCTACTTGGTTCTACACCCACCTAAGATGGAATACAAAAACAAGATAATCAGAAAAATAAACGAAAAAAAGAAAGATACCAGGCTTACTTGATAAGTCGATCCCAACTCTTTAACTTGACAAGATTTTAAAAATTTTCAACTTGAAGAACTTGAAGAGTTTTCTCAAAGAATTAGCAAAAGCTAATCTTAAACAAAGAAAAAGCTTTAATTTTATTAATTCTAAAAGTTGTGTTTACATCCTAAGATATGAAATCTTTATATAGGCTTTTATTTTCTCATTCTATTGATAATAGGATCATCTAATCCTATTGTAAATAGGAAAACCAAAGTAATAAAAAAGGATAAATGTCTTCTTCTTGGCCGAATTCCTTCTTCACTTAAGTTTGGTATTCTTCTTGTATTCAGCCTCCTCTTCTTGAGTTATTTTCTTCTTATAGAATTCTGGGAATTCTAGCATGTCATCTTCTATGATACAAGGATCTTCTACTCGAATTTGGACATGTGAAGAAAGCCAAAAAAGTTTCTCCAATTTAGCATCAGTTTCTTTCACTTTGGTTCCTCCTTCTACTCATATTCTTGATCCTTCCAGGCCAAGAACTCCCTTGGCCATTTACTATCCAACTCAGTTTCTTTGTTCTACCTCCTTGCTAAATATGAAAGCTTTTTCTTCCTCTTCACTATTGGATTCCTCCATCACAAGCCTCCTTATGCGTGCAGGCTGCTTTTTCTCTCCTTCTTCTTGGCCATGTGGGCTACAGGTTAAAAGTAGCTTGGATCGGGCCTTGAATATCTTTTTACGGCACGACCACTCTTCTTTGATCTCAGACAGGACAAACAATGGGCTGAGACAACTGACCTGGACTCAAGTTGGGCTTGAACAGCCCCTCATGGGTTGCACCTTGTGGATAAGACCCATGGGCCTTCGGTATGTGTGCTTTGGCCTTTTAGATTAGGACTCTTGGTGATTCTCAGATGGGGCTTGGCCTTAGAACAACTTCTACACTTCAAGAAGTCCCAAGCTTGCCGCAACTCGACCCAACATCTTGCGGGTTTCCTGTCACTAGTAGAAAACCTTTTTCTGTGTGGGATTCAGTTTTTGTGGGTTCATGGCAATATGTCTATGGGTGCCATGAACCCTTTGGACATCTTACTTCCCTCAAGACACTTTTCTAGATATGAAATTTTGGCTACGGGATATCGTATTAGGTAAGTTAGCAGGAATCCTTACGAGAGAAGGATTTTTTCTTCTCATGTGAGAAATCCTCTAACCTGTGAGCATGCAGTTTATGGTGCTTGCGTGCATGCATGCAACTCTCCTATTGTGTGCGTGCATGCCACCTATTTCTCCCATGTGGGTGTTTGGCCGCAAGTTGCATTCCCCAAGGATTTTTTGCTATATGCGAGAATCCAACATCTTGTCGGATTCTTCTACCTTTAGATCATGTCCTCTTTGCTTACCCGTTGCTTACATAAACTTGACTACGAAACCAAATCACATATAAAAATTAATAAATTACATATAAGGAAGATTTAAAACTAAATAGTAGACGTCATGAGAAAACCTCTTAATTTGATGAAAATCTTTGATTAGAATAAGGAAGTTACGGCCAACCAAGCTTGAAAATGAAGGATGCCTAGAATTTGTCCATGATCTCTCTTAATTGTCAATGATCTTCGTTGTTATGTCCATGTTCTCTCTTAATTTTTCCCACATGTTGAATTTTCTCCGTTGGAAGGATATGATCGACTAGGAATGATTCTACCTTGATTGACTACCGAAATTTCTTGATCTTATAGAATTTAGTTGTTGTTTTTAGAAGATTTAGAGAAATAAGGAAAGTTTAATACTTGAGAGAAAATTTTCTCGTAGGTGAGAAAATCTCTCACGAGTGGGAGAGATTTTTCCATGTGTTTAAATCCTTATTCTTGGGTTTCTTACTTCTTTAGTGGCCGATTCTTTTCTTGACTTGGGGGACTCCATCTCCCCATTTCTAGGCCTTTAAAGTTAGGCCCAAAACTTCATTCTTTATGGATTCTATCTCTTAATATAAATTTGAAAGTGTCCCTTAAGTTTATTAGCCCATGTTTTTTTGCTTGGTCCTCTTGACATTAGGATACTTCTTTCAAGTGGTCCAAATCCATTATATGAGTTGTCCAAACTTTACTTTCCTTTAAATGGGCATTGTTCATGGCCCAAACCACTTTGATCTATAATAAACCCATAACATGACCTCTTAAGTGTGTTTGGTTCAAGCTGCTAAGGATTGTGTCTTAATGTCCTCTTATATAGACCTTGTTGTAAGGGTCTCCTTTAGAATAGACTTAACTTATTCATGAGGCCTAATCCATGGCCTGTTAAGTCCATAGGGTTGTGAGCTTCTTTGGATCTTCACATGAAGTCGTGAGCTTCTTTATTTCCTCTATTGAAGCTGTGAGTTTCCATGTAATTCTCCATCTGAGTTTGCTTTATGTATGGGTCATGGGATCTCATGCAACTCCGTGTGAGTTGCCTTCCCCCATCCTTTGCATACATCATTGCTTCTAGTTTTTTCTTTCTTCGAGTCGCATCAAGTCGCCATTTTATCATTATCACATTGTGCCTCCCATTCTCTGAATGATTGCTCTTGAAGTTTCTTTCTTTTGCTTTGAATTATCTCTATCATCATCAATCAACATTATCATCATCATGCCAACCACTTGCACTTGTTTCACCATTATCATGTTAGGGCTACCTACTCTCTAATTTTCCTGGAAAAAAAAGGAAGAAGAAAAACTTAAACCCCCTTCCCTCTTTCACTTTGTTGACGAAAAGGAAGGAATAAACTTTAAAAGCCTTTCCAAAAACAACACGTCTTGGGCGAGGTTTACTTTCCCCAACACGCTGTTGTTTTAGGGAAAAAAGGGCCATGGGCTTGGCTTTTTTTTAAGCCAGAGTGTAGAAGAATATAAAGGAATAGGTGTTGGGCTTTATTCTTGATTTGGACTTAAAAAAATTTGAAAATGGTTTAATTTTGTGTTAATTGTAAGTGGCTTAGGGTTTTTAGAGGATTTGGATTTTAAATATAAAACTGATTTTAAAGTTTTAATTGGAGGTTTTAATAATTGTGGTCTTTGTACATAGAGTAATTTGAGTTTTAAATAAAACTAGGATATACATTTATTCATTTGTACATGTTTAATTATATATTATAATATTATATGCATGTATGCATATATATTATATATTATATATATATATATATATATAAATTGAAAGCTTTCTCTGGAAGTGTTGGAAACAAAGATTTCTGTTGAAGCCTTTATATATATATACACACACACACACACACACATATAATATATATATATATATATATATTATTTTTTAATTTTTTGTTTTTTTTCTTTTGGCATATTTCTTAATTATAATATAATAGATTAAAAAAAAAAAAACGTGAGAAGTTAAGAATTCTTTTAGATATTTTCTTTTGTCAATTTTAATTAATAAAATTCCTTAATATAATTAAAGTATGTACAATTGGAAAAGAACGTTTATTTAACTAAACAAGTCAAACTTAAAGCTTAACATCATTAGGATTAAAAGTTGATATATTTTAAATATATCAGTTTTTATATTAATATTACAGATTTTTAATGTATACTTATAATAAATATTCATGTATCCGTCCTCTAATGCTTTAAACCTCGTGGTGAGTATCCAGTTGCATTTTCAATTAAAGTAATTTTTTATGAACTTACTCGTGTCAGAAATTAAATTATCTTTTGATTCAACTAATATTACAGGCTAGGATTGATTCAATTTCTATTCAATTTATAGTCGATTATTAATTTTAATTTGTTTTCAGTTTTTAATTAATTCTAATATATAACTAAATTATAATTTATTATGTTTAAATTAAATAATCACTTTTTAAAATTTTTTAATTATAAAAATTTAATTTCTATCTTAGCAATTTTATCAAACGATAGTTTGATTCAGTCATCTGGAATTCTTAGGGAAAAAGATCAAATTGGCTACTGAGAATAACTTGATGCACATATGTCTCTTCAACCCCATTTGAGTGAAATCCAACAAAAAGAAAGAAAATTTTACTATCCTAAATACCGAAAGTGTCATTGGGTCATGATCTCATGGTTCCCACTGGGTAGAAACATATTTATTAATTGGAATACATTAGCTGTCCCTCAGGGCCATCATTCATCCGGAACACAAAATATATTTTGTTAATATAAACATTAAAAGTAAGAATGAGATCAAAGAAACCTGAAAAAAGCAGCGACAAAAATGTAATTTTGGTACCACCGTAAAATATTTTCCCAGATGTAAATCGATATTCAATTAATTTCTAGGGTTTCATTTGCATTGCAGAGCCTTCTGTAGCCGACAATAGCTGCGCCTTCTCCATCTTGTGAAAACTCTTTTCGTGACTTTTCCCTCTCTTCGAAGCGTGAGTGGCGGCTGGATTTGGTGTTTCTGTTCCCATTGCTTATTAGAACAAGTAGAAGTTGAAGTCCCCTTCTCTGGTATCTGGATCTCAAATCAAGGTACTAATTTCTCTTGCTCTATTTTCTCATTAATTATATATATATATATATATATATATTTGTTTAATTTTAAAGAAGAGATAGCAACTGTCTTCTGGGTTTGAGTGACTGGAGCTTTTACATATTTCAATATTAACCTTTTTCCTAAAAAATTAGTTTGATGCTTTATGTTTCTGTTTTTATTTTGGATGCTAGGTACGTGATTGAAAGGAAAACCAGAACTGACAATTTTTACTTTGAGCATGATGTTTGTTTGGTATTTCAAGAAATTAAACTCTGAAGTTTATGTGAGCTAATGAGCGTTGGTTTGGTCATGACATTTTTGTTTCTATTTAAGTTTCAAGCTTTGTTATTTTTCCGTAGTTTATCGTTCCTTCTTGCTTGCGGAGTGTACTTTTTGACATAATTTTTTGTTTCTTCCTGCTGTTGAGTACATCTGGTAGATGTTGAATCTTTAAATTCGCAACTGTTTTTTACATGCGGAGGATACAGGTGTCTAATATATCACTTTTCCTTTAATTTCGGTATTTTTGTTTTGGGAAGTTGAAGAGTGACAAAAGAAAGTGGTGTACATCTATCTAGTCAGGAAGGCGTTGAAACTTGAAGAAGCATAGGACTATCAAAAGACTAAACTGAGGGTGCATATGTTAGGAATTGTTATGCTCGCGAGGATGATGAGTAGTAATTTTTTATGTGCAAGTGCACGGTTGGTGTTCTATTTTTAGATATAGTTGAAATGTGATGGATCTTAAATTTATTGGTTATTGTATATATCTTTATGTATGCATAACGAATTTTCAGTTTTTTGGATGCGTTTTATAATTTTATGTTTACATATACGAATGTTGTAAAAAATTACTATAAAATTTGGTTAGAAAAGAATGTAGGAATCAAGCTCAGTTGAACTTGATTATGTTATTTTTTATCATTTTCTATCTCAAACACGAGTTCAAGCTTGAGTTTGTTGTGGCTTGGCTCTTTTCTGAGCATTTTTTTAACCGGCCCTAAACTTTGTATTTTTTCAAATGAGCAGAGCTTGATCCCTAGATAAAGCTCAATTTTAGCTTTGAGTCAAACTTTGAGGTTGACATTGTTGCCTCTGCTATCAAACTTTGAGCTTGATTTCAAATATCCAAGCCATTTCAAGAGGAGCAATCTGCTCTTCAAGTATTGCAATGTCTTGGATTGTTATTTACCTTATGAGTGTATTGTTCAGTAGATCAATCAGTTATTATAAAGGGGATATCATTTTAGTTTTAGTTTATAGAATTTTGGGTGTTAAGGTGTTGTTGGTTTTTAGATAAGTCCGGAAAATTTTCCAGAAACCTGCAACTATAACATAATGTATTGGATTGTTATTGTCTCTTATGTGTCTATTTGGATGTATTATTTACTAGATTGTTCATTTATGGTGTAATTCGTGGTTGGGTTTTAGAGTCTGGGGGTTAGAGTTTTGTTGAATCTCTTTTATATTTTCTTGGCTTGTGTGATTGCATTCTCATTTACCAGGAATTAAGCAGAGATACGATCATGACGGGAGGGAATTTCATGTGCAGAGTTGTATCTTATCTCATAAATGAGGTTCTTGTCAACAGTCTTGCTAATAGGTGACTATTTTCTAACATCTCATATATGTACGTTTGTTAATATAGCTGGTGGAAGCTTCTTTCTCTGGCTGGTTGGGATCAATTTGTTTTTAATTGGCTCGTTCTCTTGAAGCAAAAGTATCTCAAATCTTTCAAAGACAATCTTGTCTGTGGTGTAAAATTGTATGCCACGGCAAAGGAAGTTATGAGAAGATTTTTTTCTTGACAAATGCGATCTGTTCCTTATTTTTTTCTGCATTTTTTTCATTATATATGTTAATCTTGGGTAGGATATATATATATATATATATATATATTCTTTCAAATAACACTAGTAGGTTTTATGATGCTCCAAAGAAATCAAGACTGCTGTTTTTGTAGAATGATGATAGACTGTAAGTGAAAAATAAGTTATGAGTGAAAAATAAGTTATAAATTTGTGTCTATGCAGGCTAATGCTTGCCAGAGTTTGAAATTGTTGTATTCTTTCATCAAATGGGGATTAGTTGTTCTAAGGATC